ATCTGAAATTGATATTCTTTCGATAATTCAAATATGGGATCTGGCAATTTAAGTTCTCACGCTTTCAGGGTGTGTGGTCCACCATGCGGGATAAAGGAAAAGGATAAAGCATTTGCCGTTGATCAATCCCTTTTTGGGATGCGGCACGCATTCTACTTCCATTTGTACATTCGTAGTGGCGTTTGAATGCGATGTGGCCTATACAATGACTTGCGGGGGCCAGCCGATGTACAAGTCAGTGTTTTTATCCTCCCAGACAAGTCTGGTACCAATTAACCGACCCCGGAGGGATGGAAGGCTTGGTTGGCCCGGGCGACTCACGACCCAGGATTTGATCCCGGACTGTGTGTGACAAATATTTAGCATGATCTTTGTCTAGAACAGGCTCCTGGCTTGAAAACGTTTTGCAGCTTCATCGTGGTCCAGCCACTCCTCGTTTTCGCTGTTACCAAGAAGAGCATTTTTTCGCCGTCCGTTTTTAGTCGAATTCCTCTAGGGGGTGCGAGTGACGCCTCCATTTGTCCCTGTTGCGGGCCGGACCACTCCCAGGGTCCTCTACGGTAGAGGAATATGAACATCATCGTTACTTCTGGTCACAGCTTGTGTGAAGAAGTCAGAACATCGGGCCAACAGTCGTCCTGATGTTCTTTTGACGTTCCGAGGAATCTATATAGTCGGTAACCGCTCATCAATCCTTCACGAAAATCCTAACGTACTGAATAGGTACATCGTTATGGACCAGCTCCACTGTTATGCCGCTCAATTATTTCGCACGATATCGAGTTGTTCTGTTCCTTTATCTTTATCCTCGGTTGCTCCGAAATTTGAGGGTTAAAAAACCTGAATTGTACATCGGCTGGCCCCCAAGTCATTGTATAGGCCACATCGCATTCAAATGCCACTACGAATGTACAAATGGAAGTAGAATGCGTGCCGCATCCCAAAAAGGGATTGATCAACGGCAAATGCTTTATCCTTCATCTTTATTCAGTGGTTATGGCAATCCAACGGTCGGAGGCTCTTTCATTCAGTGCACTACGGGATCAACACTGCGAAGGGCATAGGACTAAACCGATCTTCAAATTTTCCCTCTAGAGTGGAAGAGATGGTAGGGGTAAGCTAGCATTATGCTTCCCACCAAAACATCGCCGAGGTTAAAGAGCTTCAGTGAATTTTGTTGCTCTCCCTGTGGTTCTGGTGAAGTTTCATTCCCTTTACTAGCATATCCAACCACAGTACTCTGACAGTACGGCTCTCTCGTGAGGAAACGAGAAAAAACCCGTTTAGTGCACTTATGATGGGAAAAATAATTCGAAATCAGTAGTGCTCTCTCGAAAAAGCTTACTCGCAGCTTTCTGCCAAGTACTGTTCTGCTCGAGTTGAGTCGCCATTCATGGCCAAATGACGGAAGTTGCTGACGAGCGACGTGACGGCATCATGATGGCGAGTGCATGATTTTATGCAGTCCGTGTTTGTTTCAACGTTTTCCAGGCATGGGAATTTCGTGCGAATGGCTGAAACGTATTCTTGATCAGATCATAGTGCACACAAAATATTAGAGGTGTTCGAGAGTAGATTGTTTAGGAGGAGGTGGTGACTCAGAGGAATCGGAACCCTAGCACAGTGAATTTTCAGCTCAATTGGATTGTTCGAAAACGACTATGGGGCGAAAAATGCGTAATTCATGTCACTGATCATTTGCGGACACTTAGTTATTTGATTGACACCCTTTGTGCCTTTTGTTTGAGCGGAGATCCATAGAATATCAAAATGGCAACGGCGCATCTTGCCACTGTAACACCTTTGCCTCTCTTGAAGAACGGTTCATAATCGAGTTGGTGTGTTATTTCGCTCGAAAACGGAACAAAACAGGTCATTGAGAAAAGCAAAGAAGCATAGAAAACAAAAGATAGTGACCTTTTCTCTTGAAGATCCGACCGTGTTACAACGAGGTCGACGGCGCGCTGCCATGAAGTAGAAGGGCAAAACGCGAA